CCCCCCTCTCTCTCTCTCTTCCAAGGAGTAGTTCTATTTCTTGTGCTCCACTAATACAAGATCTAGATAGCTGTTTGAGAATACAGTAGAAGATCTTAAGGTATATATGGGATTCTAATCAGATCTATCATACATCCAAACCGGAGACCAAAACCAGCAAGTGACCATACCACGACGACCAGGACGACGAGTCGAAGAGATCGCCGCCGCACGCGCCCACACGCGCCTTCGGAAGTTCGCTGCTGCTGGGACTCACTCGCGCGCGTGAGAGCACGTGGAAGCTCCAATTTCTGATCGGTCAATGCCGTTGACTTCGCCGTGACGCCAGCTTTCTGGATTGGTCAAGTTTGTTCGATTCCGAGAAGATTTGATTTGCAGTCATCTGTTCGGGCCAGCCAGATCTACATAATTTTAAGCCGTAAGTTTTCTATATCAAACCTTTAGATCCACTGCGCATAGGTTTATGTTGAATGTTTGTCCGTGATTTGTGCATATCGAGATCCTCATTAGTTCCAACACGACTTTGCCATCACAGGAGAAGTTCGGATCTCTAAACAAACGGCGACCGACTTCAAAACACCAATTCAGCCATTGAGCCTGACTTCATCTCTCCGACTTAATAACTACCGACTTTGCAGCAAGGCCGAGTTCGGATTTCCTCATAACATTTGGGCTGAGTTCGCATCTTCAATTCACCACCGACATCCATACAACCGTGGGGGTTTTCCAAAAACGACCTAACTGCCGGGGACCGACCCGACTTTAAAGCCGGCCGACTCCTCGACTGGCCTCGCCGCAATCGACCCTTCCATTACCGACTTTGCCGATCTTGACGAATTTTGAGAACAAGGCCCGACCTTACAAGTCGGCAAAAGACGATGACGACCCGACCATTACCGGTCTCGATCGCTCCAACGTAGATCAAAGTCCCATATTGTAAATCGGTGAGGGACGACCGTGACTTCCATATCCGACCTCAGTCTCTCCAAATCAGGCCATTGCTGATCTCAACCATAGCGGACCTCCTCACCACAGATGTCACCTGTACCAAAATCGAAAAAGCCA